ACTTAGTGTTTGGTAATAATAGATCTAAAAGAGACATGAGTACACGTTGGATCTCGGATCCGTGAGTCAAAGTCGAGGCGTCGGGTGGGGGTGGGTGGGGGGCTTCTGCTGTGGTGGAAGGATTCACTGCCGATGATGGCGGGATCCGGGAGGAAGGCCGAGCCCACTTGTCACCAAGGCCGGAGTGAGTGAGGGAAACCCTAGCCACACGGAGCTCAACCTACGAGACGACCAGCTGCGCCTCAGAGGCGGCAAGGTGAGAAGACGAAGGCGGGATCCGGGTTACCTCGGGCCAAAGTCGTCGTCGTCGATGGAGGCGGGGTGGGGAAGAGGGCGACGACACTTTCCAAAGAGTTTCCCACCGGGAGGACGAGTAAAGAGGCGGCCGAGCCGGATCTGGGGCCACCGACGGCGGCCGAAAGCGCTGTGCCTTGAGCTACCGCCGGACAAGCGCGCCAAGGCGGCCGAAGGCGAGGCGGCGCGTCGGCGTGGAACCCTAGCCACCATGACGCGGGAGGAGGAAGGAGAGAAAGTGACGGACGATAGGAGTGCACCGGATAGTTGGCAACGGATATATAGCCACCCGTTAATTTGGTGGGCTGGTGGCTGGTCTTTGAACGGCCGGCAATGAAAGCCCAAAGACTACCAGCCAGCCCAGCCAGCGTACCGAACGGGCTGATAGTACTTACCTGATATAAATTTGCGCCACACAGAATTAATTGCTTTATTCCCCTTTGCTTGTTTGTTACTACACATGAAGAGAGAGATTGATATTGACAAACCTCTGTCAAATTTGAACTTGGAGAATCTGAGCTCGGCTGATCTGTTCGTATGCAATCACGCCTCTTGTTGCTAAACATGCCTTTTCCTTGCCATGCATGTGACTGGCTTTAACTGAGCAATTGGAACTGGAAACGTCCAAGAATACTGAAAGAGGCCAGTGGCTCAGGTAGTTGTTCATACATCACTGGCACCTACAGTCTATCTAGTGAGGCAGAGGGACATGGGCAGAGGGACATCCCATGTTGTAAGAGGGAACATTGTCTGAGATCTAACTGTATTTTTATAGGAGTATTTATTTTAGGGCTCAAATATAATCTTGGAAGTTTTTTGCAGCCCATGCATCAAGTGCTGTGGATGTAATCCTATTCCTAGGGTAGCAGGGAGTAGGCCCCTTCTAGGGGCATACCTTGAGAGTTGAGACAAAAGGCAGTTGTTCAGAACAACTTGTCACTAGAATGCTGCTTCCTTTCAAGAAGATAAGATTCATTTCAGAATTATGTAACTGGATGGAATCTTGTGAAGATTACACAAAGTGCTATACACCCTCCATCCCTCCCAAAAAATACAATTCTAAGCTTTGGGATAAGCCAAACTTCTTTTTTAAAATTTGATCGAGTTTATAGGAAAAATACCATATTTATATCTACAACTAAATTTACTATAAAAACATATTTCATAATTAATATAGTAATACTTATTCAATATTATAAATGTTAGTAATCTTTTATATATATTTAGCCAATTTAAATTTAGAATTGTTTGACTCCTTAGGGAGTGAAATTATAGTAGTGTTTTTTTTTAGATAGAGGAGTAGGGTCCTGATGTATCTACGCTATTAACCCATCGGGGTTTTGCACATGCAGCTCTGACTCGGGCACATCCGGGTCTATATAGAAAGATCAGCGTCAGGGGCTCACCCCTGGATTGCCGAGCACATGGAGCAAGCAACCAATTGCATTTCTAGAGACAGTGGCAAGTTCATCCAACCAAACACATATGTTGCAACCGTATGTTTCAAATATTTCTACCTGTTTTAGATGTATGTTGCAGCAAGTGCTTCATATTGCAAGTGTTTTCATTAGTAGGCATAAGCATTTCAGATGTATGTTTCATATGTTTCATCCGAATGTTGCATTTGTTTTATCTGAATGTTACAAAGTAGATCTGGTGTTGCAAATGTAGATTTGGTCCTGACTTGCATACACGTCCACGGGCGCGTAGCACACAAGCGAAGCGAGGGGCGCAGCACATCCAAGGGCACGGGCGTGGGTGGTCCTCACCTGCATGCATGGGCGCGTAGCACGGAACAAAGTGAAACGCGCAGTGCGTACGTGCAGCATCATGTGGGGCGGGTGGATAGGCGGATATGCACACAGTTGCAGCCACATGCGGTTAGACTCATCAGGCATGTGGGGTGAGCGCATCAGGCAGAGACGGCGCGCGTCCGGACGTCCGGGCGCGAGCCACGCTCACATGAAATAGACAGATTCATCACAAAATATTACAAACATAATTAAGTTGCGTTTAAAATAAAGAGCCTTTAACAGTATTGGCCAATATGAAACCTAAAATGTCAGCTATGGACGCTAATAACGTTATAGCTCTTAATTAACTCTAGTAGCTAGCACGGCATAACCAAACCTTCCTTTCTTCGATGTGCTACAATGGTGCCCATAACTAAAGCCATAGTATCCCTTGAATAGTACCTTCAAAATATTTTTTTGTTTGACCATACTTCATAGTATGGCGTGTCAAATTGGAACTATAATTGCAGAGTAGAAACGTATCATGGAGACGTATGGAATCAATTTCTATCTCTTATTCCATAAATCTAAGGAATGCTTATATCTAAACTTTGGAAAGTTGTATTATGTCAAATTTCAAGCCAAATAGTCTAGTCCGTAAAGTAGATTCCAATTCCTTCAAAATGAAAGGATCTTGTACAAATGAAAACCTAGCTTTTCGAGGAGTTGAAAAGATTTCATGCGAAACTTAGCTTTTCAAGGAGGAGGTGGAGATTATCATTGCCTTGGAGCTTAGTCCCTCATCCTACCGCTAGGAGAGTTGGGAAGGTTGCATTTGAAAGTGCATCTAGGCCCTATAAGTGGGTTTTGGTGGATTCAATAACAACATGGTTAAAGGGCTAGCAAAATTGATGAGATGGATATGCAGGTGTTTAGCCCTAAGTTAGTTATTAAGTTAGGCTCAAATGAGGCAAATTATATGTGAGTATGAATTGAGTCTAAGATTAATTTCATGAAATGAAGAATTAACAAGCATATTGTGGAAATGACAAAGGATCAGAGACAAAGTCGATGAATATTTATTAGTCTCTCATGTGAAACTTGTCTGAAAGAACCAAGATGCGCAAAGAGGGGCGGGGGTGCACGACGCCATAACACACAATCACTGCTGAAGCATCACTGCCGGTTGATAAGGCAAGAATCTAGAAAATTGGTGGGAAGTTAATTAATCACCCAGCAGTTATGGCGTCTATCATTGCCGGCTAAAACCACAACCCGACAAATGATATATCACTGTCGGTCAAGCTACGATCCAGAACTGTTAGGTCCCTCATTGTTGATATTTCTTATGTCTATTGGATATTTCCGCAAGCGCACAGAAGATATAGATGTAGCACTTTGCTCGGTAGTATGCCGAGGTTGTATTTATATTTTCGCAGAGAAAGCATATGGCTAAGATGATTGATGAATAGAATTTTCTATGACTAAGTTCTCAAGCAAATCACACGATCTTAGTTGGGGTTAAACGACTATGGCGCGCATGCATATTAATTCATCATAGAGGAAGGGTCTAAGATTACTTAGCTTATACTAGTCTTTGTCCCTGTTCGCTTCGTTGAAAAGTCAGGCTGAAAAGTGTTGTTCGCTGATTTATTGTGAGAGAAAAACACTATACCATAACTGATAAGTTCAAGCGAACAAGGCCTTTACCTCAGATGTAGATGTCGCAGAACAAGGTTGAAGTTGACTTCCTTGACTTGCAAGATGACCAATGCCGCTTTACGGAGAAGCATGTAAGAGAATACTCTAGATCAACAAGAGCTTGGGCCTTGGTCCTTTCCTCCAACATCTTGCGAATCTCCAGGCGACCAAAGGCTTGGCAATGTTCTTTGGATTTGTGCATCTGTTAGATTGCCCTTCTTCTCGACCATTGTAGTAGATTTCTTTAGTTTCTTCCTAAGCAGAGTCATAAAAAGTGCGCTGACACTATATCGATCACACACTACGGGCGCTAGATTGCACGGCTTGCAAATGACCGACCACACAACAAGACATAACAAAATCGGCTTGGGCTGGTTCTGAAATTTGCCTGAGATGGGTTTTCTTGATTTCAAGAACGAAAAACCCTCAAACACATCTCGAGAGGACTTACCGGGGAGACACAAGTCGTTTGACAAGGCCACCTAGGACGTCCATGCATCTCACCAAGAGAAGCGTAGAACAAATGAACAACAAAGTATGGGGTCGTAAGAAATTAGGGTTTGGAGGTGCAAAAGTTAGGTAGATTTGTGTTTTTATCAATAATTGGATACCTCAATCGATTGTGATCTCCTGTACTTACAAGGAGGAGGTGGTCTTATATGGTGTTACAAATTGAGTCAAAACAAGTGGCATAGCTAGTTCTGCGTGGTGACTCCTCTCAATAATTTCTTCATCCATACTCTAAATTGGATTTAGACGTTCTATATATGCTTTTCAATCATCTTGCGGCAAAGTTCATCCTTCAATTTAGGGAAGTTTACAAAAACCGGCTTAGCCACTTGGTGGATTTTCTTGAAGTTGTATCTTTTTTTGTTTGAACTCCAAATTAATGTTTCATACATGTTTTTTTATCGTCTCGTTGAGAGAAACACAATGGTGAAATCTATTACGCATTTTTTTTTACAGAGTTCCAAAACCTGGTTAGCTGGTTTAATATGAAAAATCTAGATTCAAAATCTATTTTGATATTTTTTGTTGTCATCAAGAAAAAGAGATGTGCCCAGACCGGCTCACCGTCCCAAATGCTTCCAGGCTCTTCCCATCGCGTCCCGCGGTCCCACCACCAGTGGAGGCAAAAATATCTACCCTAGCCCCACACGCACAGAGACGTCTCAATCAAGAGAACACACCACCTCCACCGTCTCCTTCCTCGTCCACACCTCCATCGTCTCGTCTCACCTAGGCTTCGCTCCCCGTCCGCCCGCCGCCGCCATGATGCCGCAGCAGCAGCCCGGCGTGGCCCCGCCTCCTCCCCAGGCCGCCCCCGGCGCGCCGCCGCACTGGGGCGGCATCCCGCCGCCCATGGCCCCTCAGCATCAGTACGCGCCACCACCGACCCAGCAGGCCCCGCCCCCGCCGCAGATGTGGGGCCAAGCGCCTCCGCCCCCGCCCCAGGCCGCGTACGGCCAGGCGCCCCCGCCGCCCCAGGCCGCGTACGGCCAGGCGCCCCCACCGCCCCAGGCCGCGTACGGCCAGGCGCCTCCCCCGCCACAGGCCGCCTACTACGGGGCGCCACCAGCGCCGGCGCCCGCGCCGATGGCCGCGGCGCCTGCCGGGCCCAGCGAGGTCAGGACGCTCTGGATCGGGGATCTGCAGTACTGGATGGACGAGAACTACATCTACGGGTGCTTCGCATCCACCGGGGAGGTACGTGCTTTCGGTTCCTATATGCCGTGCCCTACGCTGTACAAATCTGTTGCCCTGTGGGTCGCTGCGATCCGCCCCTATCGATGTGGGGTTCAACGCGCATGTTTATGGACTTCTTATGTCACTTGCTGTAGATTTCAATTTGTTCGTCTTATCGATGGAGTATGATTAGCCTACCCCAACTTGTTTGGGACTTTGTTGTTGTTGTTGTATCGATGGAGTATGATTATAGTATAATAAAGTACTGCATGAATAGTGGATTCAGATGCATTAATAGTGAGTTCAGATTCATTAGAGCTTGATGCTATATGCGATTTATTTACGAATTCGAATTATGATGTCAAAGTTACTCTCTCTGGCCGGTGACCGTTTTGTTAGGCATCTCATCATTTTACAAAATGGTCCGATATATTAGGCGGTAGAGTATACCGAGGCATAGTAAGTTGCATGTAACCAAATTCTAAGCTGCATATTAACTCACGTTTTGCATTTGTGTTGGCAACGACACAAAGTTTACTAGCCTGATTGATGACGTTACAGCAATTGATTGGCAATATTGGCAATCAATAGGCACTGCATGCAAATTTGTTGCCAATGTTTGTGGGTCAGCACGGGTTGCAGCACTCCACACATGAACACATAAATTCGCTGAGTTACTCCTAGTCTTGGTATCTACGAGCACACCCACGTATTGGTGTCCGTATTTCTAATTGTGGCGCCTAACAGAACAGCGTGGTGGGAGTATTGGTAGTTTTATAATGGTCTGCCCATCTATGTGTATGGTGGGCAGTGTCCTGGCAGCTTGTCTGGAGTAGCTGGATACCGTTTTGGTATTTTTCTGAGATTCCGCTGCAGATGCATTTATGATCGTGTTCAGGTTTATTTAAAACAAAATTGCCCTAGTTTCTGTCTGCTGGTTGGTGTTTTATATTAACTAATGGGTTTGTTGATTAAATCCTAGAAAGTTTGTGTTGTAAACCTACCTGATGGTTACCTTGCATATTTCACACCATGTATTTCTGGCTTCTGTGTACAGGATCGTGTTGATCTTCTCTTTGCTCATGAATTTGTAGGTGCAAAATGTGAAGCTAATACGTGACAAGCATACTGGACAACTTCAGGGCTATGGTTTTATTGAATTCATAAGCCGTGCTGCTGCTGAAAGAGTTCTTCAGACTTACAATGGGACAATGATGCCAAATGTTGAGTTGCCATTCCGGTTGAATTGGGCCAGTGCTGGTGAAAAACGTGATGACACCCCTGACTATACAATATTTGTTGGTGACTTGGCTGCTGATGTTACAGACTACGTATTACAAGAGACATTTAGGGTACATTACCCTTCTGTGAAGGGTGCAAAAGTTGTAACAGACAAGCTGACAATGCGCTCAAAGGGTTATGGTTTTGTGAAGTTTGGTGATCCTAATGAACAAGCTCGTGCAATGACTGAGATGAATGGCATGCTATGTTCTTCTAGGCCTATGCGTATTGGGCCCGCTGCAAACAAGAAAGCTACTGGTGTTCAAGAGAAAGGTAAGGAATAGCTGAAATGAAGTTGAATTTATTTTGTTGTGATTGCATTTATTGCATTTGATTTCTAGTTTATTTCATGTCTGTTCTGTTATGTAAATCGTTGTGTTTGATGTCACTTGCAACTTCAGTTAGTTTTTTTTGTTGTTGGTTTGTTATCTCTACTTGTTCCAAATTCCAAATGTATGGAAGCTTGGTTGCAGTCCTTGAAGAAGTCAGTAGCTCCACAGCATTTTGTTCGTTAATTTGGATCATTTGATACAGGAGGGTTCTGAAATACTCGTAAAACTGCTGTTGTCTTGAAGCAGAATACCAACAGGCTCTTCATATAGGACTTGAGCTGCGATGCGTGTCTTGTAATGCATGACCTCTGTTAGGTCAGTGTTAATTGTTTATGTCCTGTAATATGATCTTGGTTCTTTCAGTACCTACTTTATTTCGTAGTTTTCCCCTTCCTGCCACAATTCAATTATTTCCTTCTGCATCATTATGAAATCTATTACCTGAGGTCAAGAACCTTTGCCTCTTATTTCCTTCCTGCCACATTCCATTTATTTCTTCTGTTCTATTAAAGCTATTGCTCGGGTGAAGAATCTTTACCGTTATCATTCAAAAGCCGCTAGTGGAATGTGTGTATATAGTATATACTGTCTATAACCTTCCTAACTAGTAACTGAGAGCCTGCACTTCTTTTAATATAAGTTCTCATTTTCCATTTTGTATCCTTCCAGTTTCCACATTTTCCATTTTGTAACCTTTTTTGGAAGAATAGCTTAAACCTTCGAGGACAGGTATAGCTTATGGGATATCCTAGGTAGTTTTGGACTTCAATATAATGAGGTTTAGGCCATTTCTTCTGTGTTTTCTAAGAAAGCAGCTTAAGGGGGAAGCTAGAGTTCAGTGTGGAGCACTACATGGTTAGGGGCAATACACGAAACGTGGCAACAATTTGTTTGCAGATCTTCCTTGCCTTGTTTATTTTCTTTAGTTGTTACTTGCTCATTGACACTGGTTATTTTTGTTTCGCTTAGTAAACCTGAGGTTGGTGTCATGTTCAAGATGTTGGATTTCAGTTACCATCTGAAAAATGAAAACTTGATTACCTGCTTATGTCATGGTGTGAACCCTTTTGTATGCCTTTATGTTTTGCTGGCTTTGAGCTTGTAGATCTATTTTAGATCTCCCAATATATGATGACTTACGAAAATAGTTGGTTGCTGACTTGCTGTTCTAGTGCCAACTAACTATCTTTGTGAGATCAGTATGGTTAAGTCTTCTTGGCTCCTGATATTTAGATTTAATTGGAATTCCACGAATAAAGCTATGTGTACAACCCCATGCTTACAACCTGTGTGTAAATAAACACACTTGTTGAAAAATGAACTGATGGATACATTGATTGCCTGGTGGCCATTGTTTTTCATGCAGCACGACTTGAATTTATTGAAGCTTTAATTCCATTCAAAGCATAGTTGAATGGAGGCACGTAGGAACAAAGTTATTCGTTAGCTTGTAGAATTAAAATATTTGCTTTTGAGGCCCCATAATGCATGTGTTCCTTTGATGTTCCTAGAATTTGAGACTAGCTTTGCTTCCATTCTTTAGGCCATTTTTGAGTGTTTCACATCTTGCTTCTTCTACTTGTGATTCTTTGTGCTTAATATCCTGTGAGCTAGTTATTGTGGATCAGATTGCCCAAATCATGCCCTTCTGCCACAGTATTGGTGGTATTGCATAGAATATCTGCATATACATTATTGCTTTTCTTTTCTGAATGGCATTTTTGATGTTCATGTTGTTCGTGATAAGCAGCATTCATGCACATTATTTTCATCAATGTTCATTGTCTTACATTATGCCTTCTTTATTTGTGTTTTATTTACAGTACCAAGTGCTCAGGGAGTTCAGTCTGACAATGATCCTAACAATACAACCGTGCGTTCTTTTTGCTACTTCCTAGTGTTCAAGCAATTGTTCTTATCTAGCTGTTGATAACCTGTCTTTGTTGCTGAGCACAGATTTTTGTTGGTGGTCTTGACCCCACTGTCACTGAAGATATGTTGAAACAAGTTTTCACCCCTTGTGGGGAAGTGGTCCATGTTAAGATCCCTGTTGGCAAAAGATGTGGTTTTGTTCAATATGCTAACAGGTCGGTTGATGATCCCTTGTTGCTTGGGTGAATTGTAAATATCCATTCAACACGTTCACTCATGTAATCACTTCTGTTACTATGCATTCAGATCTTCTGCAGAGGAGGCGTTGGTAATTCTGCAAGGCACCTTGGTTGGAGGGCAGAATGTGAGGCTTTCATGGGGTCGCAGCCCTTCAAACAAACAAGTTCAGGTAATCTCTCGCTGTGGCACATATGGACTTTCCTTTTCCGAACCTGTTGATTGAAGCTTATGTGTTTATTTATAATTCCAGCTGCAACAGGACTCCAACCAGTGGGCTGGGGCTAATGCTGGATATTATGGCTATGGTCAAGGCTATGAGGCCTATGGGTATCCCCAGTCTCAGGACCCTAATATGTATAGTTATGGAGCTGGAGCTTATACTGGCTATCCAAATTACCAACAGCAACCAGTAGCGCAGCAACCACAGCAGCAACAGGTGAGTTTTTTGGTACTTGATTGTCTTGTCATTATATGCTGTTCCAATTTGTGACTAGATTTCATGTAACTTTTGGCTAATCTGTATTGGACGTCATGTAAGTAATGTCATAAAAGGCCATATTATAGTTTCAGGTCCTATGTTTAGATATTGTTCTTTCTACAGTTTGAGAATTGCTAAAATAATCTTGAATAAACAGATAAACATCGATCTGGTTGGATTATTCTAGTTCTAATTTTCTGAAATACACAGGAACGGGCAAATTTAAACTGTTATTGCTCTAAACTTTCTTCACTATAACTGAAGATAAGAAGATTTTGCACTAGCCATGTTGAATTTTGTATATTGTTAATTTAGTTTTTGGAGACCATGGTAAAGTGGAACATCCACCTTGTTTCTGCTGGATTTTCGCTTTCTTTGACTTTTTTTGTTATCCACATGTCTTCATATTCTGCATGTATATTACCATGAGAACCTGACAAATTGTTGCCATCCTGTGCAGTGAGATCCTGTGATGCTACTGTCATTTGGGTGCGGCGATTGATGTGGGCATATTTATGAGTTGTAAGATGAGCTTCGGATGCAAGCCTGGATTAGGTATACAGACATGATTCGTAGTACTCAGATTCTGAGCGCCTCGTATCACTGAACTTATGGTTCTATATCGGTCACCCAATGTTTTATTTGTCTTTGCTTATTTTGTACCGTGTCTACCGTTACTGCAAAATCTTGACACTTGCTATGTTGGATTTTTTTTTTCCGAGTGTTATCGCATGGATGTTGGGTCCTGTGTGCCGCCGACATATGTCTTTTGCCTTGTGCCAATATGGTGTTGAGCAAACGAGCGTGCAGAATGTGCAGATCGAGCTGTACCAGAGCACCATTTTAACCTTAGTTTAACATTTTTAGATGGCTCTTCGTTTCGACTTCCTTCGTATCAAAAAGAATGCAATTTGCTCAAGTAGACAATTTTCATGTTTTGATCAAATCTATCCATCTCTCTCTCTCTCTCTCTCTCTATATATATATACATATATATATATACCAAAATTTCTGTCTTTTTTTTACGATAATGTTTGCCCATTCTATAATAACAATAGCCGATACATCCGTTACTATAGTTCAAGATATTCTATAATGTTATAGTTCATTTATGAGAGAATTACGCCTTTAAATTATAGTAATTATCGTAACTCAAAGTATACGTAATAACTTATTCTACGATCACTAAGTCACTTGATATAACTTATTGCGGGCGGCTCGCTTCGTTATTTATTTATCATGCTAATTTACGAGATTACATCCTCCTTACTATGCTGCCGTGGGTGAGTAGTAGTAATATGAATATTGTAAATACATATTCGTCGTCATAAATTGATACAAATATTATCGTAATCATCGCAATGGTTATTCTATCACCAAAAATAAATTATTATATATATATATATATATATTGAAGAGCCAAAATTTCTGTCTTTTTTTGTCTGACCCGTTCTATTCTAGCTGAACTCCGCTCGTCTACTATTCTATTGCATGATTCGCTCGGGGATCGCCTTTTTTGCGTACGGTCACTTGACGGGCGGCTCGCTCGTCGTCCATCCTACCCGATGCTGCCGTGGGTGGACAAGAAGGGCGTGACCTTTGACCCACCTCTAGCTGACCTTGCTCGTCGCAGTCCACCCTGCTGTCCGTCCGAATCTGCTCCACTGCAGCCAGGCTCGGCTGTTAGACTCTCGGCTCTTCGCATCATTAGACTGGCCGAATCGAAGCGCTCGGCTGCTGGATTCATGTGCCCGCTGTTTGACCCATCGTTATTGGGAAACAAGGTAACGAGGAGATGCGACCGTACCTCGCATCTAGGTGTGGCCGCATATGCTGACGGCGTGATGGGCTAGGGTGGGGGTGGGAATGTGTGATGTGGTGGCCTGACCGCGGTTGTGCTGGGAGCTGCTGGCTGGCTGGGGCGGCACGGCGAGGCGCCGCAGTGGCATGCGGCGGCGTGGTGGCCTGGCGCCGGTGTCGGCCTTCTGCGGTTCTTCCTCTCCGCCACTTCCATAGGTACAAGTCGCAGGTACCGGTGTCGGCCTTCTGCCCCTCTGCCACTTCCATAGGTAGAAGTCGCAGGTACGTACGGAGCAGAGGAGTGGCATTTTCGTTCCACACAGACTCCTTTTCTACTTCAGGACCTACACGACGGCTGACGGCGAATCGCGCGGTGGAGCGTGTCAGGGGCTCACGGTCAGCAACGTTGTGGTGGTGGTGGCCGGGACGGACGGGCTGTTCAGCAACGTGCTGAAAGAGCAGCTTGAGCCTTGAGCCTTGAGCCTTGAGGCCACCGTGCGCTGTGCGCATCGGGACCAGGCAGAGCTTCTCGCCCAAGAACATCACACATGTTATTGCGGGCGTCGCGTATCGGCGTTTGAGAAGTCGCAGCAGCCGATCTCCAACTCTCCATGTGGCTGTGCAGAGGAAAGCCGAGCGAAATCATGGTTTGCTTCCGGTCTGCCTTGGTGATGACGGACCAGAATCAATCGGATAGCAGCCAGCAGTAGCCGGCCAGCAGGCAACTTGCCATTCAGCATTAGACGGCCAATATACTTTTTCCAAATATAGACGATAGTCTCGAGTAAGACGAAACCAAATAGGCCCCCGCGTCGCTCTCTCCCCAAGGAGCGACTCGGGCGGCGCTTTTTCTCCGCCGCCGGCCGGCTCCCTCCCTCGCGCTCCCCAGCCTGGCCGCCGCCGGAGCTCGACGTCGGGTGTCCGGCGGAGGGCAAGGATGGTGGCGGCTGGGCGTTCTACCCCGCTCCCTCTCTCCCGTAGGGCACCTGTGCGGGCGGCGGAGGCGGCTACCGGCGGCGCGAATCCAGCCCAGATGCGGGCGGATCCGGTGTCTCCCCGCCCTGATCTGTCGTCCCCGTGAATGGATCTGGTGGTCGGAGGCCTCTTGGTGGTGGCGCGCGAGCGAGATGACGGCGAGGACACCTCACATGTGCTGCGCGTGACGGCGGCGGCATGGAGGCCGCGAGTGGGCTGCGCGGCGACGGCGTTGAGGAGGCTGCACCTGGGCTGCGTGGAGTGGAGGCAGGCCTCGGTGCGGCGCGGGCGGGCGTGCTGGCTATGGAGCGGCGCGTGAGCCTCGCGAGCGGGCGAGCCGGCGGCAGGGCGGCACGCGTGCGACATCATGGCGTTGGTGCTACCCATACATGCTGCTTGCTGGTGTGGACGATGGCCACAGGCATTGGAGGAGTGGCGACCGGCTTCTCAGTTCGGCCATCCCCTGACACGTTGGTACCACGAAGTGGAGGATTTCTGGTGGCGGTGCTCCGGCTGTGGCGTGGCAGCTGCCTGCAGTTGGTGTCGTGGTGGTGGAGACCAAGTCGATTACTCAAGAGGCAGGTGTCCTCGGCGGACGAAGATGGTCAGGTAGAGGTGCTGATGCAGTGTTTGCAGGGCACAACGGTTGGTAGTTGGAGGGCGACGGTATGGTGGGCCGTGCGCCAGTAGTGACCGCGAAAATTTGACTTTGTCCTGGGCCTTTAGTGCCGGTTGTCAGCTCAAGCTTGGACTAAAGGGTGCCAACCTTACATATACTTGTCTCTTCTCTTCTTCTTTCTCCTTTCAAGCGCCGGATCCGCCACTCCGCCGCGCTGCCACCCTCACCGTGTGCCTGTCCGACCTCGCCCTCTTCTCCGGCTCGCGCGGCGGGCCCTCGTCTTTGTCTCTCTGGTGCGTGCGGCGGCGCCTCGTCCTCGTCCTCGTCCTCTGGCGGCCGGCTAGCCTCGCCCTCGTCCTCGGCTTCGACGCGCGTGGCTCGCTCACTTCTCCGCCTCGCACGACGGTGTAGAGTCTAGATGGTGGACTAGAGGGTGTGTGTGAATAGTCTTTTCTAAAACTTAATCGCGTCGGCTAACCGAAACAAGTGCGGAATTAAAACAATTGGTATAGCCAAGACTACACCCCTCTATCTATTGTCTCTGGCACCTTGCAAAGATCCTAATTAAGCAACAAAGATGTCGGGCTAGCTAGAGTTCACCTATTCAATCATAGGAGGAAGGTCACACAAACCTATGCCGCTAGTATTTTACACACCGGGGAGCTCCTACACAATTCTAGTAAGTAAAAGCACAAAGCTCCTAAGCTCACTAGCAATGCTCAATAACAAGGTAACCAATGTCAAATTAGAGAGCGCAAATACTTAGCCACACAAACTAAGCAATGTGACTAACAAGGTTACTCAAACTAAATTAATCACGTAAGGGAGCTACATTTGTGTTACACAAGTAAGAAGGTAACTAGTGAGCTACACAAGCTAACTAATTACAAGAGCAACTACACAAGCATAATGTATATGAAAGTAATTACAAGCTTGTATAAGGGGACTGCAAACCAACGGGAAGAACAATGTTGACACGATGATTTTCTGTCGAGGTTCATGTGCTTGCCAACACGCTACGTCCCCGTTGTGTCGACCGCTCACTTGGTAGTTCGGCGGCTAATTAGCATCACCCGTCAAGCCCACACGTCGGGCACCGCAAGAACCTACCCCGAAAGTGAGGGTAGCTCAGTGGCACGCTCAACTAGAGTTGCTCTTCGCAGCTCCTGCGGGGCGAGCACAATGCCCCTCATAAAACTCTTCTCCAGAGCACCGCACAAGCTTCTTGCGGGCTTCGACGGAGACCACCACTAAGCCATCTAGAAGGTGGCAACCTCCAAAGTAACAAGCACCACTGGCTTGCAAGACGACCACCTAGTGCCACTCGATGCAACCTCACGATGCAATCGTACTGGAATCGCTCTCTCATATAATCAGATGATCACTATCAAGCATATGTGAGATGGAGAGCTCCCAAGCACTACCACATAAGCCACCAAGGCTCTAGTGTGCTCAGCTACCGGCCAAAGGCCGACCACCACTTCTATTTATAGCCCCACGGGCTAAAATAGCCGTTACCCCTTCACTGGGCATTTTTTGGGATGACCGGACGCGCAGGTCGTGTGCACCGGACGCGTCCGGTCGCTGCGTCCGGTCATAGCGTTCGGTCGCAGCCTGACCGCCACATGTCCCTTTCAAATTGTTTAGCCATTCACGCCCAACAGCTATCACTACGAAAGGTAATACCACGTGATCGGACGCGCCGTTAGAAAACGACCGGACGCGGGAGACACAACGTCTGGTCGAGTCTAGAGAGGTCCTAGAGCCGCTCTGGGCTGACCGGACGCGTCCGATCAATTATAGCGTTGACAACCTGAGTCTTGCAGGTTCACACCGGACGCGTCCGGTAGCTGCGTCCGGTCGAGTCCAGAGAGCTCCTAGAGCCGCTCAACTACGACTGGACGCGTCCGGTGTGGCCGACCGAACGCACCCCTACATCTAGTCCTCTCTGGACCAACACCTGCGCCCCACGTCACCTCGACCGGACGCTAAACAGTGATTGCTCAGCGTCCAGTCACTGCTATGACCCAGAGTCCGGTCACTTTGTCAACTTTGCCGCGCCTGACCAGAATACCGGACGTGTCCAATATGGATATCGGACGCGTCCGGTCACGTCGAGAAGATACCGGACGCGTCCGGTCCTCACGTCAGACGCGTCCGGTCACCCCATGACCAGCACATTCAACTCCTTTTCTTCACCAACTTCTTCTCCTTTGCAAATGTGCCAACACCACCAAGTGTACAAGACCTTGTGCATGTGTGTTAGCTTTCCACAAACATTTTCCAAGGAGTTAATCACTCAATTTACCACGCCACTCGATCCTAGCAACGAAGCAAAGTTAGATCACTGGAGTGGCACTAGATGACCGATATGCAAACAAGTTTGCCCCTCTTGATAGTATGGGTATCTATCCTAAACCAGGTCATAAACTTCTCTACACACCTATGACCAGTGAAATGAAATGCCCTAGGTTATACCTTTGCCTTGCGCATTCCATTCCATCTCCTCCATTGTTGATGCAACACATGCACCAACCAATCACCAAATGATATGATCCACTTCATATCATCACGTGACCGCATTGGTTCATCGATCTTGACTTCACTTGCTTTTCACCGTTGCCTTCGTCCATCAGTGCCAAGTCTTGCTCAAGCTTCACCGCCACACGGTCTATCACTCCAAAGCCTCTGACTTGCCGTTCACGCTTGCAACCGGTCCATCAAGCCAAGTCATGTCTTGATCTTCTCCACCTTGATCACATGACTCCATGTCATGTCACATGTGCAATAAGCTCCTTCATCATCACATGTGTGAGCTTTGCAACATCTTTGAGCCATCATCACCGTCATGGCATATGTTGCTCACACACATGTACCTATGGACTAATCACCTGTGTATCTTACTTAAACATATTAGTCCACCTAAGGTTGTCACTCAATTACCAAAACCAAACAAGGACCTTTCAATCTCCCCCTTTTTGATAATTGATGATAACTCTACAAAGATATGGAAATTAAGCTCATTTCAAGCTAGCACTTCACACAAGTGTAAATTGCCAACTTGATTTGAATTTTATGCTACTTATCCAACATTTAAGCTCTGTTAAGATTTGGATAAGCATCATAAAACCTGACTTGGTAGTGATAGCTCCCCCTACATGTGTGCTCAAATGATTTGGTTTCAAGTTTGCACACATGCATAAATATAAAATTTGTGGGTGTGTTATCACTACTAAGTGATGCTAAGATGTATAGAATAACCTTTGAAGCGTGATACCAATTGGAGTTGCACTTTTAACACCATCCTTAGCATCATGAGTAGCTAGACAACAAAAAACACTAGAAACCCCATAAGATCAACATTATAAGCAAGGTTCTAGTACCACGTGTAAAAATATGAGTCTAGGTACCATTCTATGTATGCTAGTTATCAAATCATCATTCAAATTCTACAACTAGCATATACCACACAAGCATGCATATTGAATTTAAAAGCTTATGTAATGCAAGCAAGCACATGAATATGCACATATCAAATGCAATCAATCAAAGTTCATGATCTTGCTCCCCCTACTTGTGTGCTTCTATTGTCCACGAACTTTGATCCTTTCACATCCTTCAATGTTGCTCCCCTCTTTGTCCATGTCCAAACTCTACTTTGTCTCAATCTTTCCCAAAGCTTTTATATCTTTGTGCAATCTCTCCCCCTTTGTCATCAATTTCCATAAAAGGTGTGCTTCTCATTGATGCAAAGGTTTGCATTTGGGGTAGATGGTTGAGGCTTGAATCTTGTATTTTTGATGGACATCACTTGATTGTTGGAATGCCACCACTTATATAGCTTCTTGAGATACCACACATAGGATCTATGACCATGATACCAATTTGTGAGACACCTCCCCCTATGTCATAGTATGGGTCATCCATTTGATAAACTTGAGCTCTTATAGGTGAGGGATACATTCTTCATTTTATGATCACTTAAAGTTGAGGATCACTTGTGGAACCATCGTCTTGCATGATTGATACCACGTGTAGATGTGACACCACTTGAAAGAATTTTCTAGTATGGAACCACTTGTTGGATTTATCAATAAAACCATTTTTAAACCTTTGTTATCTTCATGAGTACCACTTATAGGATATCACTTGTGAGTTGATCTAGACATTACTTGTGAATTCTTGATGAAAAACTTGAGTCTAGATACCACTTGAAACAAACAAACTAGATATCCATTTACATTGTTATCGTGTGCTTGTACTCATATCACTATCATGAGCTTCTATGGTTGACTTGAACTAAGTTGATTTGCCTAAGCTTCTAAGTCTGGTTTGAACCAATGACAAGCTTCTTCACACCTCTTACAAGGGTTATCTTGCCAATGTTGTACTTGTCACTTGTTAGCAATCCAAATTAAATTAAGTACTTGGATTTACTAGCTCATGAACAAATTCATATGCTAACCACTAGATCAACTAATCATTCAAGCAGTAGTGGTAGGATATGAATTTAAATATTTCATTTGTTATGCATGATCCTATGAAGCATGTACTATATGCACTAACCGCATACTAGTAAGGAATGAAATGATCATGCACATTTCAATGATACCTTTGCTATGTTGAAGTAGAGGATAGTCACATAGATTCCAATTCATTACTCCAATAGCAATGTGAAATCCAATTATAAGCTTTATGAAGACCAATAGATACCATTTTGAATTCCATTCTTCACCCATATGAATTGAATACCACTTATGATCAAGTGCTCTATCTTGTTGTGGTTAGCTTGCTTCATCTTTTGATCAATGCTTGTATGAGAGAACTATTTGGAATACCACTTGAATTACCATGACTAGCTCTCTTTTAGGTGTTGCTTGCTTTCCTTAATCAACCCTTTTGATTGCTTCAACTAAGCATCTCAAATGTCCCTCGGATCACCACTTCCATGTTAGCCTTTCAAGTACCACACTTGGTTTACCTACACATAGGCGGCAAGCCCATACACTAGGTAGAAGTGACCTCTTTTCAAAGAACCATTCTTGACACTCACTTGAAATAACTTGATTGA